TTGAAATCCTTAGGAGTGCTGATGAAGAACGAGACCGGATTCTGGAATTTTTATTTTAATACTTTCAGAGATAAGCGATCTGTTCTTAGTCCAGAGTTTGGTGCAAATTTTATGTCTAACATTGCAACCGATCTCCCCCGCGACGCGAACCTCCCCGGGAAAGAAGGAACGGGCCACCGACGATGGAAATAACAAAAAAAACTGGTGGCAACGCAAAGAAGAAGAGAGAAAAGAAGGTATTTTCGAAATAAAAAAACTCTTCCCTTTTCTGTTGAATTTTCGAAAAAAAGGTCTTTATGTATTTTTTTTTTTTTTGAATATTTCGAAAAAGTAGAAAGAAAAAAACAGTCTGTTTATAGATTTCCATCCATGTATAATTGTATATTCTGAATTTTCATATTTCATTGATCCTATGTCAATCTCAGTAATATTGCACCGATTTCCTATTCGAAAGCATAAAGGAAATATTTATATATAACAGCATATACAAACATTCATAATTTACCAATGCAAATTGCATGTATATTTCTGAGAGCAGGAAAGCATATATATTCCATATGAACATGATTTCATAATGTAAACATGCAATTTATTGACAATTTTAACAATTAGTAATGTTAATTTAGAAAATCAACATACCATTCACCAAAGAGCGTGCTGATAACGTGTTGTAATGTTGTTTGTGCCCGTTGGCCTTTAGCTCCTAACCGGTGAGTTGTAGCGTTTGTATCAATAATATAAAAGATAAAAGTAAAATATAGAACAAGATATATGGGTGAAAGAGGAGTAAAGATTCCATTATACCAATTCATCATTTGAGTACAAGGAAGATATATATATAATACATTTGTAACGGAAAGCAGTAAATGATAGATATAAATATGAGCGTTACAACTGTTACAAAAGCTACTCATAATGTCCACATTATTAATAAATACTTTATAACATTCCGCCAATTTTTATAATAGAAATAGTAAATAGTACATGATTCTTAAATTTGCAATTCAAACTTAAGATAAAACTAAGGTAGGACTCACAAGTCCACACCGTATGTTATCCCCCATCAACACTCTCATGACTAGAACTAGTATACTTTGATCTAGTAAATAAACACGGTAAGTTACGCATACGTACATACGTATCCTAGCTACTTAATATTATTGTAGAAAGACTAGCTCTTCAGTCATCGCTCCTCTGCTCCCCTCATAATTAATGCACATTATATTGCGACCATTTATCAAATGTAAAATTTAAGCTTCCGACATTTACAGGGTGTTTGGTGGAAGGGAATTTAAATTCCTTTCCTACTTAATTCTCATCTAATTTCAAAGGTCACAAAATTTCTTTACTTAGTTGAAAGGAATTGCAATTCTATGAAATTGTAATTTTCCCATTTTTATGAAATTAAAATCTCATGTCCCTCCTGAGATTTTAATTTTTGGGATTTTAGGAATAAAAAAGAAAGTGATGCGTCAAAACTACCACTTGTTTTTTTAACCTAAAATTAATGTCTGATAATAACAATAAACATTTTGGACTTTATACTACTTATTCCCTTTCAATTCCCATGTATACCAAACATTGGAATTGAAATTCTCAGTAATTCTATTCCTGTAAATCAAACACTGGAATTTAAATTCCCACTTTATTCCCAATAATTCATCTCCCATACAATTGCAATTCTTTTCCCACGTAATTCCCCCTCTCCAACCAAACGCCGTATTACTATATGTAATAACAACTCTTCCAAAGTTTTACCCAACACACTAAACTAATTAAACTAACTAAATTATGAAGAATTATATATTCAATGAAGAGCTACAAGAATCATTTATATTTCTAATATATATATATATATATATATATATATATATATATATATATATGTATATATATATATATGATACTGTTCAGGTGAGAACGGGTTGTCCGGGAGCAAGGGCGGACCTACAATGGGGGCTGTGGGGCAGTTGCCCCCACTCACCCACTCCCACCCCATATATAATTCTTGTATGTATATATGTATATATAGTACATGATTTTAATAAGTAGAAGAAAATTGATAATAGTAAACCATAGAGGTGTTAGATCAGCTTGCAAAAGGCGTGGTTTAAAACACATGCATGGATTGCAACACAGACACACCGTTTCTTTATGATTTTTTTTATAATAGTTTCTTTATGATTTTTAAATATTAATTAATGGTGAGATTTTTTACACACACATATAACCTTTTTATTTTTTTAATAATGAGATGTGTATTCGAATTATTTTATCAAACTAATTATGTTTCATATTTTGTTATGAATATTTTTATAAAGTTTTGATGTGCTTTATTTTTCGTTCATATCTAACAATATTTATAGCTATACTTCTTAAGTGTTTCATTTTTTTTCTTCAAACTATCCGTTTTATTTTAAAGTGTTGCCCCCACTAGAGAAAATTCTTGGATCAACCATTGTCCGGGAGAGAACTAAGAACCACTCACAGCCGCCCACGTGTCTAGATCTAACGGATCAGAAACACGAATTTAAAAAAACAAACGCGGTGGTAATTTCGTAAATAATTGAACATTGAAGTGCAAACATGCACCAGTTCCTTACACTTTTAACACATTTTACTTGCACCAAAGTTTGAGTTATTTACGAAAATGTACCACGTCATTTTTTAAAATTACATCTGATTCGTTAAATCTAAACACGTGGACAGCTGCGATTGGTTCTTAGTTCTTTCCAAAACTCCCGTTCTCACCTGAGCACGCCTATATATATATATATATATATATATATATATATATATATATATATATATATATATCCAAGCAAAAGTCGTCGGTCTTGGATACGCAAACAAACTGTTGGTCCCGATAGAGTTGTAGCGAGAGTCTAGAGGGGGGGTGAATAGACTCTCTTCGTGTTTTGCCCTAAAAACAACCTTTCGGTGTTTCGGCGCAGCGGAAATATTGAGTTCGTTTATTTACTTTGCACGAGTTTTTGTTATAAAGAGAACTTTCGGTAATGTCGTGAAAATAGTATGATGCATAAATGACAAGCGTAAGTAAAGAGATAGGGAGACGAGAGTTTTATAGTGGTTCGGCCAACTTTTCCTACTCCACTCTTCTTCCACAACTTATGGAAGGATTGCACTATCACTCGTTAGTACAATTACACAAAGACTTCCTTGATCACTAAGCCGGACAGCCTTCGTAGGTTTTTCAACTCCTCGAGTTTACTCCGCCTCTATCAACTTTTTCTTCAGAGTTGAGGTTGGTAGAAAGAGATTTCTGATTTCTCCAACGCGATGAAGTCTTGACTGTCGAGGAATGATTGCTTCGTACTAATGGCAAGACTTCTTTAAGGTAGATAAGGATCAATGAACTTCTTCAAGTATCTTTGCACCTTAACACTGGTTCACAAAAGCTTGAGAGAGCTGAGAGCGTTTAAGAGCTTTTGCGTATGTATAGATCTAGTGATAAGAACCAGCACCTTCTTAGTTGATGAAGGTGGGTTTATATAGGTGAGGAAAATTTCACCCGTTGGAGGGAGATGAAATTTTCAAACCTATTGTCTAGTAGATAAGGATCGGGGAGCTTCCCTCATTAAATGCTCCATTAATGAGGTTGTACCTTGTAGCCGTTGATGGCATGGAGAACCTTAGGGTTTTGTCCTTTAGCTTCAGGAAATAGTACATCTTTATTTAATGCTCCTTGGTATGCGTGTCCCACAAGTTGAGGTCCTTTTGATCCTAGGATGTTGTCAAGTCAGACAGTGGAGACATTCCTCTTGCTATTGGTGAGAAGGAAAGTCTTGAAGGATTTTCATCAATAAGACTGTCCTTTCGTGTTCAATGACAACTCCTGGTTAACTTTCGTTGTTGTTGCTTCATGCTTCGTGTCTTCTTTCGTCTTGATAACCCTAACAACTAAACATAACTCGTCTTCGTGTGTTTGACTAGCTTAACACGAATTACATGTGAGTTATGGCAGCTTTCGTCTAAGACGAAAGCGGCGATGAAAAAAGATAACGGTTAGGGGTCTACTTTCTAGGTTACATTGGTATCATCAAAATCCTAATACAAGTGTTCCTAACAATTTCCCCCTTTTTGATGATGCCAAAACCTATACTCTTCTTATAAGGCTGATAAAAAGTTCCATAACGGATTTTCTATTACAAATCAGCCAAACTCAAGAGTTTACAAGTCTTTTCTAGATAAGAGCAAATAATAAGTAAGACAAGGACAAGTAACTCAGACAAGTCACACGAGATGTGTAATAACGAGTACTTTATATAAGGAAAAAGATGATTACAAAAACTTTTTAAGATAAACATAAAGAAAAGCATCTTACACATCTAGAGGATTCGACTTCTGTAGCTTTGCTTTTTCTCGTTCACGAATATCCCTTTCATCTTGCTGCTTGATCATTCTGTCAGTGTCTATTTCCTTGTTGATTCGTTCTCTGAAGATCCTGATTAGATTTGTCTTGACTAGATCTTCGTGTTTTCCTCGAATGTTGAGACTTATGTAATTGTTGTAGGCGTCCCGAATATTTGCTCCTGCAATTACTCCAGCTTTCCACCAAGAGATGAGTTCAAAGGCATTCATTCCTTCTTTGTAGCTCTTTCCAGACTTGGCATGTACTTTGAAAGCTGCATTGTAGATGACACCATGCTCAGAGTGTTTGGTGACTTTCGTGAGATCTTCAATAAGCTTCTTTACTCTCTCTCTCTCTCTCTTTCCTTCAGCTCATGTTCTCTTATTCGGGCTTCTTCTTCGTGTTTCTCTCATAGTTCTCTATTTTGCCTTTTTATTCTTTCGTTTTGGGTGCTTATGTGATGTTGTCTAGTGTAGTTGTCCTTTGTCTTCAGCCAGGTAGGAACATTGCAACCCTCAAAACGTTTCCCACTACCTTCTTCATAAGGTTTGTACTCCATAAAGTTTCCTACTACATCCATTGTTATCTGTTTGTCTTTCATGAATTTCTGCCTTCGGTTTGCCTTTTCTCACTTGGAGAGCCCAGCAAATACAAATTGTGATTCAGAACCATAGGATTGATGTTGCTTGAGAGACTGTGATCTGGGTTGGGAATGGCCCCGATTTGAATAGTGTCTTGTCTGGGAAGGATGGTGACCACGAGACTTGGATGGAGGATTTGTACTTCTTTGCCCAGAATCCCTTAGTGCAAGAGATGGAGAGCGTGAGCGTTCTCTCGTGTTTTCCCTCGGATGATCGTCATCCCTATCATTATCATGGTGTCGCTTTTCCCCCTTTTTGGCATCATCGGCACAAGTGGTAGGAGGAATGACGGAGAGTTGATTAACTGCATTCAGAATGTCTTGGGCATACCCGAGAGTTTGAAGAGCATATTGTCCCAGTTGGTATGCGTTGTCTTGGGAAGTATCTATCTTGGAGCAAGCTAAGTCAACACGCTCTTTGAGACTGAAGTGTGAGTGCTTGAGTTCGTGCTGTTGGTGAGCCACTTTGTTGACAGCGGTATTGAGTTCATGGAGTTCCTTAGCCACGCGCTTGTGAAATTGTCGGTCAGGATTAGCTTGCGGTGGAGGTTGAGATGGCTCTTGTGGTGGCGGATGAGGTTGAGCTTGTGCAGCTATCAACTGATCCACCTTCTTGGACAAGTCCTCCAAGACATTGGTGTCCCTTTGCCTAAGAATCAAGTACTGTTGATGTATGGTTTCGGCAGCATGGACTGTTTCTCTCATGAGATTCATGACTACTCGTGGGGACACTGGAGGAGATTCTTCTTCAATGTTGGTTTGTGGGGTTTCAACTTGATCTCCTTGAAGTGGTGCATCCTTTTTGCCACCACTACCCGAGCTGAGAAGAATTGGGGAGGCTTCCAGGTTACCCTCATGTACAACTGCTTCCTCTCGTTTTATTGGAGTCTCGTCCATGGGTTGAACATGTGGAACGAGGGCTCGAGATAGATCTTCAGGATGATTAGTTGAGACGTCTTCATCTTGTTGTGATGCTTCCCTTGTGCCATCACTGTTGGAAGGTGATTTCTGAGCTGGAGATCTTTCGGGAACAGTGTCATAATCAGGTCCGACCAAAAGAGGAGATTCACTGTCATAATTTGGATTAGCTCCATTATCACCATCATTTCCTGAATCATCATTGTCATCATCATCATCATCGTTCTCATCATCTGCATCTTCGACATCGTCAGTATCGTCTTTTTCTTCATTTTCGGTCGTGTCAAGTTCTCGACCTTGCTCATCTTTCGAGCCACTGACGCTGCAGTCAGGATCATTTTGATGTTCTTTCTCCAGGATGGTATAACGAACTATCTTCATTTCTTCTTCAAATGCTGGGTCCAAAGGAAGTTTGTTGAGCTCTATGCAAATCGGAGCTTTGTCCTTTCAGAGAGTACGATTTGTCATTTTGTAACAGAACACTCGTCTTATTTTTCAAGTCGCAGTGCTTCATTGAGATCCTTGGTCTCAAGCCACTCAAGAGCAAACTTTTCTTCATCTTTCATGGCTTCAAAGGTTTTGATGAATGTGGTCAGGGGGCTGTGCGCCATTTTTGCCACTGCAACACTCTGTTGTAGTCATTTTTAATGGACTCACGAAGCAGTTGATCTGGAGATGGAGGAATGGGTGCAGCAACTGGTGGTTTTGTTGTGACTTCGGGAACAGGTGTCAATGTCTTCGGAATGTCAGGAGTGCCAATTGGTACAATGGCTGTCTCATCTGCCAATGCAGGTTCTTGTGTTAGATTTTCTGTTACCTGCTCTGCAGTGGTAGGTTTTTGTGGAAGAGGCGGAATTTCAGTCAATTCAGCAACCACTTCTTTCGTCTTTGCTGGCAAACCAGGTTCTTGTGGAAGACTTAAGTGACCGACCTCCATGTACATAGCAGCAGGTTCGTGTGTCGAGCTTTGAATGTTTCGCTCTGCTGAAATGGGTTCTTGTGTATGAAGGGCTTGAGGAGAAGAGAGGCTAAGGTTTGGCTCTTGTTGATCAGAGGGTTTTTCTGGAGAGGTTTCTTTCGGCTGATCTTCCCCCTGTGAGAGAGCTTCTCTCGTGTCTTCTTCCCCCTGAGAGAGTGCTTTTCTCGGTGTTTCGTATACTTTCGGGGAGGAAGATGAACCAAACTTCGTTTTGACAGGAGAACGAAAACGTCTCGATTTACCAAGGTTTGACAGAGCTAAATTGTCTTCATTAGAGGAGTCTTCGACAACAATTTTGTCTGGAGGAGGAATGGGTGAGGTAAGGGTCTTCTTTTCTGCGGGAGATTTTGGAGATCTGAGAGTGGGTGTGGGTGTACTCACAGCTTCCTCTTTAGACTTACTCCGAGAGGAGCGCTTTTCTTTCTTTTGTCTTTTCTTCTTTGGTTGATCATCTTCTGATTCTTTCGGTGTCCTTGACTTTCGTTTGGATTTCACCATTTCCAAAGGAATACCCAACTCCAGAGCTTTCTGCTTGTCATAACCGGAGGGCTTCTGCTTCATGTGGCAGGCCTTTTGTCTTGGGCGGATTCCTGGTCTCATAAGAACATCCTTTGTGACAAGTATATGACTAACCAAAAATCCGTAGCCTAATTTCTTGGTGATATCACCAGGACTTTTTCTGTTGAAGATGACAGTATGGACAAGGTTGTTGAAAATAACTTTCGACCAGTCAACTTTGTGTTGGTGAAGAAATACATGCAGCATCTTAAGCTTTTCCTTCGTGACATCATCTGTTCCAGACGTTTTGTGATCTATGATCTTATTGAAGATGTCCACAGTGAACTTATAGTCCAGACGGAACCACTTTTTCTTCAAAGGCCATGTAATCTCCGTTTTCGAGGGTGCATGGTTGTTCTTGATGGTATCATAAAACTCACTGGGGTCATAGTGATAGAAAGAGAGGTTGGCCTGGTATGTCTCATCTCTCTGAGGAAATTCATACGCTGCTCGTATGTCCTCTGATGTTATAACCACTTGATGATTATGAACTCTAGACGTGATGGTTAGAGAATCGGAAGAGACAGTTGCATTCAAGTAAAATTGCGCAACATCAATAAGATACCATAAAGTATAGAGATGACTGATAAACCTGTATAACCCTGTTTCTGTAAGCAGATTAATGATGTCTTCTCCAAACTTGCGATCAAGAACATATTCGAGGAACCCATGAGCGTCCCACATGCTTCCTCCGATAATAAGTGGAGCCCTAGATTCGATGAATCGTATATCTTCCGTAGGGAAGGAAGGAATTTCCAACGGAGCTTGGGTTTCTGGTTCTTCATTGAGGAGGGTATCTTGGGTGTTCTCCGCCATTCTGAAGTGTTGAAAGAATATAGAGATGGCAATATGGTTTTTGAGACGGAGAGTGAATGAAAGATGTGAAGTATGGAGAATAGGGGGTTTATGTAGGGTTCCATATGTTTCCGGGTATTCAAATATGGGTCAACCCATTTTTAGGGTGGATGATTTGAATTTCAAATACTCAACCGGTTCTACTCCTTCAAATGGTAACTGATCAGCTTATGGGAAAGTGATAAGATCATGCTCAGATCAGTTTTGATCATTCCATATTAAATGTGGAGAGAGAATTCCACTCAAGTGCCTGTATGAGCATTAAATGCCCATCACATCATCTGTCAGACGTCGTGGGGTAGTGGACCATTTTCCTTGGCCACACGATCCCCATGATTAAATGTGTAAACGATTCAGATGAGAGAGTCAATGGGAAGCGTCTTAAACACAATTGTAGACCGAAAGGAGATAAATTTCACAGAAGATTTGTAAGACAAATAAAGTCGGATAAATCTCATATAAAGCATACAACGAAAATTCATTGCCCGAGAGATGATTTATTACACGAAACAAGAGCAGTGATAACTGCAATGACATCTCTCGTGAGTTACAAACCATGAGACTTTATTCCATGGCCGCCCTCTTCTTTCGAGCATTGTCAAAGAATTCCTTCTTCAGTACCTCATGTGCAAATACTTCAGCTATGATTGTTTCATGATACGATCCTATTGCATCCCTTGAGAGACCTCGTCTCTCCATGTCATCCAGTTCAGCCATAACTTTAGCTTTAGCACCGGCGTAAAGAGTCCGGTACTGTTCTTCATTCTTCAGATGTGGCGCAAGTTGCACAATGGAGTAGAAATCAGAAACACTTGGTGCTTGGGCAGATTCGTCATATGATGATCCCTTCTGTAACACCCCGTGTTACGACCCCTAAAACCAATTAATCATTTAACCAATTACCCAAAGAAAGAATTAAATTACAATAATTAATTAGAGAAAAGGCCCACCATGGTCCGTGGGCCCTCACCCCTAAAACCCAACCCCTAGCCCTAAAAGGAATAGAATTAGCAAGCCTATAATATTAGTCCCTAATTAGGACTCCTAGATATATAAATAGGGGACTTAAGAGGCACCTAGAACCCCCCCACCACAATAATCCCTCACCACACAAGAAGTTCCAAGAATTCCCCTAGGAGAAATCAAGAAAGACCCTTCATAGCCAAGGAATTAATTAAGGCTAAAAGGTAACCCATGTCTCAACAAAACCTATTTTCATAGCTATGATTCCCCTCTTAGGATTTCCCCCATATTCTTGTGTGTTGATGATTCGTTATAATAATCTTGATAATTGGTGTTATGATTCCATGGGTAATCTTGATGATAAGAGATTCTTGACGATTATATGGTGTTCTTGATGTTCTTGATGATTATATGATGTTCTTGATGTTTATATGATATTCCTACCGAATCGTGATATTAGATGATGAATTGTGTTCTTGTTGATTTAAAAATAATTAGAACCCTAGGTTATATCGTGGAATTCGTATGGTATTATTCTTGGTAGATTGGGCGGGAATTTGTATGTTTGGGTGTTGATTAAGTTTAGAAAAGCATGATAGGTTATGTGCCGTATGTTTCTTGATTTTGATCCATTAATTGTCTACGTGTGTTATCAATTGCGTTTGAAAGTGTCTAAGCATGGTTTCGGGTTCCACAAAGGTTCCCGGGGCGTTTTTGGTGAAAAAGAGTCAGTGCGGGGTAGGTGGGGGTAGGGGACCCGCCACCTACCCGCGGCCTATTTGGGCAACACCGGCACCCGCTGCCTGGAGACACGCCACCGGCGGGCAGCCGGCGGGTGAACCCTCACCCACCGGCTACCCGCTGGAAAATACCCTACCTCGGGTTTCCGGCTTCCCCGTTTGATGTTCCCCCAACCCCCGTGACGTCCCAACGGACTCCGTCTATCGTGCCTATGTCTAGTTTGATATTTCAGGTACCGTTCGTAGGTTGTATGAGTCTTATATATAGCATGCTAGTTGAATTGGTATCCCGTTGACCTAGGTGAAAGAAGTATGAACCCCTTAGGATTATTCTTAGTATGTGAAGTATCACGCATAGATTTTTGTTAAACGTTTTCTCCCCCCCCCCCCCTCCCAATGTGTTAATGTGGGTTGCATGTGCTTGCTATGTGTTATGTGTGCATGATACCCCAGTTTGGTTGCGATCAAGTTGGTTATACGGGTAGTTGGATGGGTTGAGAACCATACTGACTGTTAACCAGGCCGGTTGCGATCGGTCAGGTATATAAATATTATATAGGGCTGTGGTCCACCGTTTGGTTGCGATCAAACGTTTCTACATGAGCTGCGGTTCATATTTCCTGGCTGCGGTCAGATGACATACTCTTGGGCTGCGGTCCACTGTTTGGTTGCGATCAAACTATGATGAGTTGCGGTTCATCGGTCGGTTGCGATCGACCCCTCCGTGTTGCGATACGGGGCAGGGTGCTGCGGGGCCGTGTCAGAGCTATATGCGCTGACCCTCATGTATGGGCATGCGATTGGTCCTGTGGCGCCAACAAAGTGTGCTATGTGATGAGATATGGATGAGTTGTTGTTATGAGTGTCTTGGGAGGTGACTTTGGGATTTATGCCGGGAATCGTATATGTTAGGTTATGGATATTAACTGTGCTTATCTTTATCTGCCTTGCCTGTTTCTCTATGCTTGTGAATTGTTTATGCTCGATTATGTCCGTTGTCTGTACTAAGCCCTATCTGTTGAGTCTATTCCCTGTTTTAAAGCTAGAGTCTCTTAGGATATATCTTCATGCTTCGAAATGGTTTTTCGTATATCTATATATATATCTATATGTATTGTATTTCAACGCGTTGGAGTGGGTTACCAGCATCTCTCGCTGAACAGATATATTTGGCTTTCAGGCACAGAAGAGTAGACACTGGAGCGCGCTAGAATCGTGGAGCATAGAAGTAGATAGTTTTCCCTTTCGGCCTGCGTGCCACGGTTATGCATTTACTCGTTGAGGAC